TGGAGTTATGGTGCTCTCTAATGGTGTCATACCCTTCGCTTTTTCATGCTTCTGAGTCCCTGCGTTGATTCCAATTTACCTGATGAAATAGCTACTTCTTCTTTTCCTTGTGCTGGGGATTGTATTCTCCAGGGCCTTATTTTCTTAAAGACAGGGTTTCAGTAACTCCCTAAGTTGCACCAGCTGCACTTAACCTTACCATACTCCCACCTGTGCCTCCCACAGTGCTGGGATTACAGGTGTGTATCGCTGACCCCATTCCCTTTCTAGTTCTAGCCATGTTATCTGTAGAGAAAGATTTTTACTTGTAGATGAGTGTAAGGATATTGGTTGGACAGGGCACATGCATTTTGGTCCTGTGTAGGTCCAGCTATGTCATCGCACGCAGTTTCTTTAGCTACACTGAACAAACACAAGACCTGGAGTTATCTCAATAGCCTGGGATGCTATGCGCTGGGCTCAAGGCAGGGTTGCCACAGGTTCCCAGCACAGGGGCTTGCCGGTCTCCTCCGGGTTGCGCTTGGCTGGGGCAGACACTGCGTGGGCACAGGTGTCACTCTCAAGGCTGCTGCTCTGGGGCCCAGCTTCCAACAGCCAAGGCCAGGACCCAGCAGCCCCTTCCGCCATGTGAGCACTGCTATGGTAGCAGAGACTAGGGGTGGGGGGCTGCGGTGGCCACCAGACCCCACCTGCATGGCCTAGACAGAAGGCCAGGCCCAGGCTCAGTTGTGTAGGGACCCCGCCTCCCTGATAGGGCTTCCCTGTGGGTGCTTCCCTGCCTGTGCCAGGTCTGAGGGAGCGGCGAGCACCTACAGTTGCAGTGGCCCAGTCAGGCTGCCCGAGCCTACCCTTCGCTCTGCATCTGCCTGACCCAACTGTGCCCTGGCTGTCCAGTCCAGGTGAGTTGGTGGTTTTGTCTATAGCCTGAGAACCTGGAAGTAGCCTGGGCACCTGTGCTGGCCATGGGCCCAGTTGTATTCAGTTTCCCCTGTGCATTCCCAGTGAGGGCAAAGATTGGAATTCCCTATGTCCCAGGACCTTTGAAAGCGTAGGCCTAGTTTACATGCCTGGATCCCTGAAGTAGGTCCACACATACTGGGACATAACGGGACACTTGGAAGCAGACTGAGACGTGTAGGAAGCACCACATCACTCCCTTATGGTGAAGGACACAGGCAAGTCCATGCATTTCTATTAAATGGAAAACTGAAGGGTCTGTATCAAAATTTCGAGAGCAGTTTCTGGCTTACTTTTTTTCTATTCTCTTGTGTTTTTGAATATGTGAGAAATTATTGGTACAGCTAATATTACATAAATGTAAGATCCTCACTGAATTTTAAACATTAATAGGTGCAATTTAAAACTAACTCAGGTTGCAAATTTAGCAATTTATAAGTCTCACCATGTGGACAGTTGTGTAGAGATTACTCTTACTTGTTAAATCGGAAAACACAAAACTAGTGTTGCAGATATGCAGGCAATCCAGTGGAACTGAAATCCATTACTAACTTTAAAATAACATGATAAAATTTTCTTAGCTAACAAGTTTTACAAAAATATTGTTTATGTGATTGTGTCCCTTGAACATATAAATAGTTCCACTCTATTAAGAATTTACTCCCATGGTATGCAAGGTTATCAGATATTATGGTAAGTTTTAAGTCAGGTTTATTTATATTAACCACAGGACGTAAGACTTTGATTTGTTCTGGTCAATATCCTCAGCATTTCAAAGATTTTGCTTTGTTGGCTTTTAGTCAAGTTAATGTGCCTGTAAAATTGATCGTTCTTGCAGAGATGATTAAATAGGCCTGACGCCCAGGCCAAAACAAAACAAAAACCAAAGCACAAAACAAAAGTTAACCTTTCCTTGTACAGTAACTCATTACATAAACTTACATATCTTCTCTGTCCAGGTACTTGAAACAATATAGATGTGAGGTAAAGAATAACAAGAATGTGGAAAATAATTGAGTTGTTCACCCCAATACTTTGTGAAATCTCCAATTTCTGGAGCCTTTTCGCTTCCCCTTCTTAGCTATCACGCTGAGACAATGCTAAGCATCTGAGACCCTCGAGCTGGAACATGTGTTACTGGCTCACAGCGGGAACTCAATTATTTTTCCTCTGTGTACAGTTGATACCAACTAACGACGTGGGCATCTATGGCGTTTGCCCACAAGGGAGCCTGGGCCCCCAGCTCTGGCCCAGGAGGAGCCGTTCTTCCTGAGGAGGTGGCCCCAGGCACATGTCAGCTGGCTCGGACAGACACCTTTAATTGGGAGTGAGGAATGAATCGGTTTCTCACGCTGACCATCTGTGCATGTTTTCTTTCGTCTTCTGCAGTAACAAGTGTTGCTTTGTGAAGGGTCTGGAGCTCAGCATGGGCAGACAGCAGGAGAATCTGTTACCACATCTTGGAAAGTAGTTATCGGTTACAACAACCCGTGCTTCATGAAGACCTTTGAAAATGTGGATTCCCACCAACATGTTATAAAATTATGATAAAGATGGAATGAAGTTACACTTACTTCAGGCGTTAAACCAGAAGGAGATCCACCAGGACAATTGGGACCACGTTTGTGAGTGGGCGGCAGCCTTCTGGGATGTACCACGCTCATTCAAGGGTCAAATCAGAGATGACCGTGCCACAGTGGTTCTGCTGTTGGGGCTGGGATCCCATGGCGCAGTCTCTGCTGTACCACGCATGGAACCCCGGTTTGCTGGGTATCTTAGCACACCTTCTCTGCCTCATCCTTTTTGAGAAATCTTTTCAAACCAGACAAGTAAATGAGGGCGAAGGTGGAGAGGAGACTGATTTGCCTTCTGCGTGCTCTGGGGTCGGGTTTGAAGTGTTGGTTGTGGACAGAGGCGGTGGCCCCGGCATCTCGGAGCCAGTACCAACCGTGTCCCCAGTCTGTGAGCCAGTCTCATAGAGCAGTGTCCCTGGGTTCTGTCCGTGTGCTTTTCCTGACAGGATGTTTGAACCCAGTATAAAAACATAATGCAAGCAGTAGCACCTCATCCATCCACCGGCTGGTTTTCTTAGAGTATCATGTCAGCTAAGAGCCTCCCCCTTCGCTTAACTGATAAACACTTGTGATTTGTGAAATACCAGGTGCCTTTGAGGGCCCCCAAGTAATTCAGAAACAAAATTGGAAATATGGCTGCTTGCGGATGCGGGATACTCTGCCTGCAGCCCCTCATGTAAGTGAGCTGACCCTGAGTTTGGGGAGCATGGGGAGTGGGGTGGGCAGGGAGGCAGCTGGCCGTGGCACTCCCCCAGCAAATGCTGCTGGCAAGAATGTCACTGCAGCTCTTCCCAGGGGTCGTTCCTAGTCACCACCGCAACCTGTGTCTGCACTGCTGTGCGGCCCTTCTGGGCTATGCCTCTTCCCTATGTCTGTCCCATACGTCACAGTTCTCCACGCCTTATTCCAGTTAGAACCCTTTCTACTTGGGCAGTAACATCCCTACAACCCAAAAGCTGAGGAGCAGCGTTTAATGCTTAAAACTGCTCTAGACTCTGGGCCCTCTTCATGGCGTATGCATTCCCCAACAGAAGCTCAGAAGCTCTCGCCAGCTCTCCAGCCTGCGCTGCTGTTTCCGTCACGTGACCCAGGGTGCTCCCTGCCGTGTGCACATTGCACTGCAGGAGTAAAAGCAATCCTAGGCACAGCCGGAAGCCCCAGGTGCACCACACTGCCCAGCTGCTCACGGAGCACTTCCCCGCCACTCCCTTCCTGCCAGACAGCAGCCCAGTTTCCCTCAGGAATATCCAGGCCTGAGCAGTGGCGTGCAGTGCCAGATCTTCACTCTCAACTCCTGTGCGCAAGTCTTTCTGAGGCTCCACGCAATGAAATGGAAAACCCGCGGGCAGTTCGGCAGCTGCCCGTGTGGGGGATACATCATTAAAAGAAAGTTGTTCATTAGAGCGTGTTGGCAGTACATAACGATTACATTTATCATAGGGAGTTTGTACTTGTACATAGCACATCTTAATTCTTTTTTATTTTAAAGAGAATAAAGATAAAAAATACAGAATTTGTTTTTATTTTAAAGAGAATAAAGATAAAAAACAATACAGAATTTGTTTTTATTTTAAAGAGAATAAAGATAAAAAACGATACAGAATTTCCAAACATGATGATTGGAAATTAATAATGGTTGTTATATTGCATATTGTTATCCTCAAAGTAGTCACTCAGATTACAAGGTATAGGCATGCAAAATTGGACAAGCAATTAAGCACTCACTCTTCCTTTCAATAGACCAATAGAAATTAGTAGTACAATTATCTTAGCTATCATATATATATATATCTTTCCCTTCTTTCTTTCTTTCTAGTAGTGTCTCCCTAGTGTAAGAAATTGAAAGAGTAAGTAAAATCTGAAAGGTTCAATACATATTGTGAAAGGGAAAGAAACTGCTCAAAAGGAAAGAACAACTGGGGTGAGGGAAAGGAGAATTCCTTTTTTTTTTGTGGGGGGCCTTTCCTCTTTCCCCTTCTTTGCTCCCTTGAACTCTTTTTCCCTCTCCTTCTTTGTAAAACCTCTATTTCCACTTTTTTCAACTCTTTTTTAAAAATCCCTTTTCCTTTCTTTCTTACCTCTTCCTTCCATCTCTTATTGCCCTTCCCACATGAAAAAGACCTTCCCACTGCCTAATACCTATCTTTTTTTTCCCTTTTGCTTCTTATTTATGCTTTAGTTTTCTCACATAAGTGAAACAATGTGCCCGGAGACTATCACCTTTTTAAAAACTTTCTGTTTTATTTGTACACACTGCAGTTCATGTGGTTAGAATTGTCTTGGGAAAAGGTCACAAGTATGTATTACAGCACCTTTCTTTCTTTCTTTCTTTCCTTCTTTTTTCTTTCTTTCTCTCTGTAATTTCACTGTGCTTCCTTCCCCCTTCCCTCCCTCTTTGAGTTCCTCTATCCAATTTTGTATTCCTCTTGATATTACGCTCACGCTATGGGGTATAATGTTTACATTAACTAGGGTTTTTAGGTTCCTGTACATGACACATCTTTATTCTTCTTACTTCCCCTTCCCGGCTCCTCTCCCCTAGCGCTTGTCCCCTTGGACCACTTCCCTACTGCAAGAGATCCGTCCGCTTGTCCCTTTCTATCCACCCTTTGTCATTTCCTTTGCTTGTACTTTGCCTCACTCAAATGATAGTTACTATATAGTATTTTAAGCTTGTGCATCTGGTTTATTCCACTCAGCACTATATTTATCAAGTGCATCTGTTTTCCTACAGATGTCTCAAATTTGTCATTCTTTATAGCCAAATAGTATTCCATTATATATAGATACCACATTTTCTTCATCCAATCATCTGTTGATAGGGACACAGGCTGCTTCCAGGATTTAGCTGGTAGGAATTGTGCTGTCATGAACATTGGCAAGCATGTATCACCTATAGTATGATCACTTAAACTCTTCGGGGAAGATACCTAGCAGGGGAATAGCAGACCCAGCTGTCCCTGGAGACCGTAATCTTAGGGATGCAACATTTTGAGAGAAGCGTTGGATCATCCTACAAGTCAGGCATTGAACTAGTTACTTTGTTTTGTTTTCTTTAAACAGAGCACAGTTTTTAAGAGAGTGTGGCTGATAGACAGACAAGAAGTGATCAAATTTGAGCAGTTGGCTGCCTCTCACAGGAAAGGAAAGAACTGACCAAGGTTTCTGTTTCTCTCTTTGTTTGTTTATTGCTGGTGATAAAATTAGAGCTTTCAGGGAAATACAGTTCTGGGACTTCATCTATTACGTCGAGCCTGTAGTTTTACAGTATTTAAGTGCTGCTTTGGCAGGACGCATGACAATATTAACAAATACAATTGCTTGGTCATGTGCAATGAATGAAAGTGTGGAAACAAAGACCATCGAAAGTCAGAGAAGAAGAACTGTTGGCTCAGAGCTCCCTGTGCCCAGGACCTTTGGCCTTCGCCCTGCAGGCAGAGGCTCCTGTACCGAGTCGCAAGGACCAGGGCGGCTCTGAGGCTGATGGAGCCAGGGGTGGGCCTGGGGGGACACAAGGAAGCCTCTTATGGAGTGAGCAGGAGAGCATGGTGCTCTGCTCTGATTGGCCCTAAATTGGAGGTAGGGACAAAAACTGGGAGCGTGTCAGTTATTAACCAAATCCTAGCCACTTGGGGTTGGCCGGTGCAGGGTTGTCTTTTGAGTATTAGGCCATCACCCAGCCATCTGGTGGACTTCTCACAGTCCTCAGTCCTGCGTGGCCTGCTGGCTTCCTGGGCTACTGCCCACAGACAATGCGCTGGTTTCCTGGGCCCGGGAAGGTGGGCGTGGCTCAGAGTTCTGTTTACACATGTGTCTTGCCATTGTCCCCTAATTGTGGGTGTTCAGAGATCGGTGTGCAGATCTCAGTGACCCAGTGTTTTCCCAGCACCTAGTGCATGAGTCCAAAACCCAGTGGCTGGAAGACCCATTCTTTCCAAGTGCAAGTGGGTAAATAAACGTCGGTGTGAGAGAGCGCAGAAAGTCCCAGCTATGGTTTCAGATGGCGTCTTGCCACTGATCTTTAAGAAAACCATTTGTCAAGTTTTTGTGTAGCTTAAAAGAAAAGTATTCATAATAATCAGAAAAAGCTCTGAAAATATTCCCTTCTACTTCTTATATACATGCACATGTGTGAGACTATATTTTCTTCCTATATTTCAGAAAAAGCGTAATATGTTTCTAGTATATGCATGCATATATATGTGTTTGTGTGACTGTATTTCCTCCCGTATTCTAAACAAGACAGCATAACAGACGGGCAAGAGGAGCAGATAGAAGACTCAGCTGTCACGATCACTTTTGTTAATGTTGTCAGACACTAAAAGAGGTTACAGAGATATGGATTAATCCCACTCTTTTCACCAATTTCCTTTCTTCTTTCAGAAAAATAGCTTTAATGGAAACATGTTGTTTAGGTTAGCACACAATGAGTTTATTGCTGTTATTTTTTAATGAATGAAATATTTTTAAAATTTCCCTGTTCCAATTTCTGCAGTTTTGAAAGATATAATCCACACAAGCAGATGCTCTTTGAGGTCCTCAGTAATTTGTAAAACCACAAAGGAGCGCTGCAGCTACGTCTCAGGCTGCTGCTGGTGCCCAAATCTGGGACTCTGAGGCACTATTCCGGCTTTGGCCTGCACCAGTGCGCTCTGCCTCACCCCCTGGGCAAGGGACGGGCCCAGTGAGAGCCTTGCGTACAGAGAAGTGGGCTGGGGGGAGCTGCCCCAGGAGGAACCGGCTGCCCCAGACCGCCTCTTCCTGCCCCTGCGAGCAGGGGTAGATGCCAGGGAGCAGTGCTCAGCCCCCTGCTGTTGGCGCTGTGTTCTCCGCAGTCCCTGCCCTGGGCCACGCTCACAGCCCTGACTCCCCGCCTGTGGAGCACTGCAGTCCTGTGGGGTGCTGGGAGCGTGGCACCCACCTCACCCTCCGCTCTCAGGGTTTCCCAAGTGTGTGCCTCCTGGGCTCTGCCTGTTGCTCTATCTCATGTGTGCTTTCAGTTTTCCAGTGAGTAAATTAACAAAAATGTGAATGTAGAAATGAGTGCAAAAGAATTAGGCATCAGATGTTAATCTTCTTACCCACGTCATTACGGAGGGCTTTGGAGATGAAGGGTTTTATAGAGCTCTTTAAAAATAAACGTGGGCAATTACATTTGTCTTTGGGACAGACACCTTGCCAGGGAGACACTGCCAAAAGAAACCAGGGTGGAGAAGCCCGTGGCCTTATTTGTGGAGGGCTGGCCCTTCTAAATGAAGGGAAGATTAGCGCTTAGTAACACCAAGGAACAGAGGATTCCACAAGAGGATTTAGACTTGCTCTGCTTGGCTTATTGTAGGGCTTTTAGGATACCATGGCTTCAGCTTAATGTACTGATTCTAAGCAACTGGATATTTGCCACTGCATTAGTTATAAAAAAAAATCATGTAACGAAAGGCAGCCTCCCCCTTTAAATGCCTACCATGAGATCTTTGATGAATGTGGTGATAAAAAAAAAGCATTTCCTGATCAGTTGAATTATTAAGCATCTGAGTCAGACTCTGAAGGTGAAGCAGGCACATCATGTCATTGGAAGAGCCTGAGGCCCCTTCTGACTTCTGTGACTAAATCCATGCTTAGAGTTTGAGCTCGAGGTCATTCCTGTTGTCCCCAAAATGCAAGAGCAGCACTGGTAGCTTCTGTGCTGTGTCTCTCGTACCCTCCAGGAGCCGGATCTGCATCCCAGCACCCCACCCACCAGCAGGAGGACCAGCAACACCTTTTGAGCCAGGGACATCTGACTCCATCTGTCCCAGTGTTTGTCTGGGAATGTGTTATTCAGTGAGGTACCACTGGCCACAGGTGACTATTTACATTCACCTCTGGATTAGGTAAAATGAATAAAACCTTGAACTTCTCTCCTCTGTCTTATCAAGTGCATGCCCAGCGCTCCACAGTCACAGACAAAGAAGGATCTGAACAGAGCAGTGTGGCCATCCACATTTCCTCATCTCCAAGATTCTTGTTAGGCATTGCTTCCACAGCGACACAAGAATCAGAGCTTAGTGATGGTCACAAGGGCTTGAGGTTGGGATGATGACTACATGTATGGGGGTAGGGGATTGGGCAGCTGGTCTTCTCCAAAATAGAAAATAATAATGATAAAAGAACATCCCCCAGTACATCTAGGAATCACTTCTTTCAATATGTGTGCATGTCCTTCTGACCTTTGCCTTTATATATATTTTCCTCTTACAAAAATGGGATCACACAATACTGCCTTTTTCAGCATCACAATATTGGATCGTATCTGGATTTAGATGCAGCTCTGAGAGTCAAGGCTTTATTTCTGAACTCAAATGCAGATGACAAGGAGCCTTGGGAACAGCCCATGGACTTGAAGCCACACAGCTGGGGTCACGTGCCTTCCCTGTCTACACAGCTGCTCATGACCAAATTACGCTGTATCTCCAACCCTGCAGTCCCTCTTGTGT